GCAAAGTCAAATAATTTTATAGTGAATTGGGGTGCATACATTAATGATTTTGAAAATAGGATGCAAACTCAAATATCACCCAAAACATAGGGTGCAAAGTCAAATTTTCCCCAAATAAATCAACGCAGAGTCAAGCAGCTTCTCTTCTCTTCAACGAGTGACAGAGCTGTGGACTATTGAGCATTGACGATGGAGATGTGGACGAGTGACGAAGATGCCATTGACGAAGCACGGAGTAGCGGACGACCATCATTATTTGCTAAAGCTTAACCATCCTGGTAATATGAACAATCTGGTCTATGCTCATTCTATATTTATAAACAAATGATAAAGTATATTGATAAAATATTTATACGGCGGACGACCATCATATTACCAAAGTAGAAAAATCTCTTATTTATACGGAGCTGCAACAATGATTCAAAGATTTGTTATTACAAACATTAGTTATCATTGATTTATGTTGGATAAATATTCTAATTTTCATTATGGATTGTGTTGAGACTTGAGATATTAGCACATAATTTTAGTATTTTCTACTTTGGATTAAATATTGTGTTTTAGTTTTGGTATCGGTTTATGTATTGATGTCGTATGCTACTTTTGACTTGTTAAAATCAGTTTTTTTTATGTTCGGTAGGCCCCTTAAGCTAATACTTTATACGGAATTGCCAAAAAATTTTATTTTTTTTTGAATTTTCGGTATAAAACGGTATGAGTTACATACCGTACCGAATTTTCGGTATACCGAAATTCGGTATACCGAAAGTTTCGGTATGGTAACGGTATGACATTTACCAATACCGGATTTTCGGTACGGTATACGGTATGGCGTTGAAATTTCGGTATACCGTACCGAACCAACCCTATTCACACGGCCCGACATCTCTATGCAGTCCAACAACTCCGTTTATTTATGCATGATCCACGAGACTCACATTTTCATGCACTGAAATGGGTATTTTGCTATATTCAGGGCACTCTACATTTGCAACCTACTCTATCTCGTTCTAGTGCCGAAGCTGAGTATCACGGTGTAGCTAATGTTGTGGCCGAAACATGCTGCCTTCGAAATTCATTACTTGAGCTACGTTCCCCGCTTCACAAAGCAACACTAGTATGTTGTGACAATATTAATACTGTATATATGATCGGCGATCCGCATCAAACATGTTGAAATGAATATTCATTTTGTTCGGGAAAAAATTGCTCGGGGAGAAGTTCATGTCCTTCATATTCCCTCTCGCTGTCAGTTTGCGGACATTTTTACTAAAGGTCTTCCCCGAATATTATTTGACAAATTCTGGTCCAGTCTCAACGTCTGTGACTCCCCCGTTTTGACTGCGGGGGTGTGTTAGCCAATATTATAATTCATGTAACATTATATTTATTATGTACATTTACGTATACCTCTCCCATAATTGTGGCTGCCACATACTTAGCCTAGCTCTAACAAATAATGTATCTAGACTTATTTAGCTCATACATATTAAGTAGATAGCATTTGTATACACCAGAGGCTCTTTTGTACGCAGCCTATTAATAGGCTTATTGAATAATATTATCACTACGGTGAATTTCTCCATCTAACTGAAGTAATTGGTAAAAAAGGTAGTTATTTTATACCCAATGAAGAAGTGGTAAGAGGTAATTGTCGTTGAAGAATATAGTAGTATGGAAGAAGATGCGAAAGTCTATTGAGGGAATATGGAAGAAGATGGAAGGGTATGCTTGAGAATTAATCATTTATTTAGAACCGGTAAAACAAAGGCTCTAAATTATGGCGTTTAATTTTTTGAAGTTTTGAGCCAAAACGCTATGTTCAGCTATTTGACACACACCAAATTTCATTATTCTCACCAATTAAAAAATCTAATTTTGGTCAAACCAACCAAATTTTGGCTGGAATGTCATTTACCAGACATGTCTGATACCTAATTTTAGTGTGAAGGGAAGGACGAAGAAGTTAGGGAAAAGGGGCAATTAAGGCCACGTACTAACAAAAAAAAGTCAAATAAGGCCTTATTTATGACACTCTGTCCGGCCTTCGCCATTTGGGTTGGTTCTCGGTGGAATTTTTTGATGAATTTTTTTGAATATCTTATTCAGTAAGTCTAGTTTACTCATACCAAATTTAAGCTAAAACTTCAATCGGGAAGCCATTCAAATGAATTCTTGAAGATAATTGCGCAGTTAAAAGCGCAGTTATCTTCAAGAATTCATTTGAATGCCTTCTCGATTAAATTTTTATCTGAAATTTGGTATGAGTAAACTAGACTTAATGAATAAGATGGTCACAAAAATTAATCAAAAAATTCCACCGAGAACCACCCCAAATAGCGAAAGCCGGACAGAGCCTCATAAATAAGGCCTTATTTGACCTTTTTTGGTTAGTACGTGGCCTTATTTGCCCCTTTTCCCAAGAAGTTAAACATATTAGGAAAGAAATACTCCCTCCGTTCTTTTTTAGTTGCAACGGTCAACATTTCACATTTACCAACGCACATCTTTAACCGTAATTATATCTTAATTCTATCAGTAAAAAAATATTAAAAATGAGATTTCGAAAATTTGTAATGAGATGAATTGAACAATATTTAAAAAAATCATGAAATAATAGCGTAAAATGTAGTCAAAGCAGAACATGTGAATAGTGTAAAATTCAATATGTTGCGTTTAAAACGGAAAAGAGGATAGTATTTTTTTGTATTTGATTTACCTCTAAAAGTGATATACTTCGTATGAAGTTCTAATGTTTGTATATCTACTCAGATACAAAGAGTGTTGGTCGATTAAAACAGCAGAGCGATGGTAATAGAAGTCGAAATCTGCTAAGGAATGTGTAACAACTCACATATTGAATCAACTAACCCCGAAAATGGATGATGCTTAAGCGTTTTTTCATCTCAAAATAAATAAATTAATTAATTAAACGGTATTGAATGGATTCTAACAAATATTGAGTTTGATTTAATTATTATTCTATTTTTCTTCTTATAATTTAATTAGATTTTCCACCCATCTTGAAAAAGAAGGGCCATGCTTGGTGTACACAAGATGTACACAAAATATGTACATTGTCCGTGTACACAGACAATTGGGTATCAAATTCTGCCATTTTTCTAAATGAATTTCCTGTGTACACATGCAACTAGGGGGGGGGGGGGGGGTGTACAATTTGTGTACAAATCATGTACATTAAAGTTGTTTTTACTTGGATTGTAATTCGTCCCAGACCAGACCAGACCAGACCAGACCAAAACAGACCAGACCAGACCACACCATATTTCATTATTATTATTATTATTATTATTATTATTGTTATTATTATTATTATTATTATTATTATTCTATTTTTCTTCTTATAATTTAATTAGATTTTCCACCCATCTTGAAAAAGAAGGGCCATGCTTGGTGTACACAAGATGTACACAAAATATGTACATTGTCCGTGTACACAGACAACTGGGTATCAAATTCTGCCATTTTTTTAAATGAATTTCCTGTGTACACATGCAACTAGGGGGGGGGGGGGGGGGGTTGTGTACAATTTGTGTACAAATCATGTACATTAAAGTTGTTTTTACTTGGATTGTAATTCGTCCCAGACCAGACCAGACCAAACCAAACCAGACCAGACCAGACCACACCATATTTCATTATTATTATTATTATTATTATAATTATTATTATTATTATTATTATTATTATTATTATTATTATTATTATTATTATTATTATTATTCTATTTTTCTTCTTATAATTTAATTAGATTTTCCACCCATCTTGAAAAAGAAGGGCCATGCTTGGTGTACACAAGATGTACACAAAATATGTACATTGTCCGTGTACACAGACAATTGGGTATCAAATTCTGCCATTTTTCTAAATGAATTTCCTGTGTACACATGCAACTAGGGGGGGGGGGGGGGGTTGTGTACAATTTGTGTACAAATCATGTACATTAAGGTTGTTTTTACTTGGATTGTAATTCGTCCCAGACCAGACCAGACCAAAACAGACCAGACCAGACGAAAACAGACCAGACCAGACCAGACCACACCATATTTCATCATCATCATCATCATCATCATCATCATCATCATCATCATCATCATCATCATCATCATCATCATCATTATTATTATTATTATTATTATTATTAATATTATTATTATTATTATTATTACTATTACTATTATTATTATTATTATTGTTATTATTGTTATTGTTATTGTTATTATTATTGTTATTATTATTATTATTATTATTATTATTATTATTATTATTATTATTAGGGGTGTGCAGCGGTTCAAAACCGGACCGGATCGTACCGAACCGGACCAGATATCATTCCGGTTCGATCCGGTTCCGGTTTTTCCGGTCCGGTTCGGTCCGGTATTCTGATTTAAACCGGCTAGTGCACACCCCTTATTATTATTATTATTATTATTATTATTATTATTATTATTAGGGGTGTGCACCGGTTCAAAACCGGACCGGACCGTACCGAACCGGACCGGATATCATTCCGGTTCGGTCCGGTTTTCTGGTTTAAACCGGATAGTGCACACCCCTAATTATTATTATTATTATTATTTTTATTATTATTATTATAATTGTTGTTATTGTTATTGTTATTGTTATTTGTAATTGTAAATGAATAAAATATAATTATTTATGGATTATAATATATATAAAAAAAGCTTTATGCAAAAACTATAAAAAATAAAATTTCAGACCAGACCAGACCAGACCAGACTAGACCAGACTAGACCAGACCAGACCAGTCCAAAACAGACCAGACCAGACTAGACCAGACCAGCAAATTAAGGTCCAAGTAAAAACGACCTACGCATTTTCGGAAAAAGAATCCCTTTTCTCTTTTTCGTCCTCTCTCAAAGCAAGATTATTTTAAGAAAAAAATTGTTGAACACCAAGGAGGGAAAAGAATAAAATAATGGAAATGGACGGGATAAAGAAAATCTCAGACACCATACCTACGGCAAAAAAGACCCACCCGTTTCCTCGGCCTCCTCGAACGTCAACTGCTCAGACCGACAAGCCGCGGAGAAAGGGGCCGAGTCAAAGAAGCTGAGAAGAGAAGGAAGGGGCCATGGTGGATCTCTTTGCATGGCTTCTTTCCTTCTTCCTTCTTGTCGCCATTCTTGGTCTTCTCCTTTACCAGGTTAACGAAATCCCTTTCCTTTCTAGATTTCCTTCACCGTTTATATTATTCACGACTTTCCTACTATATTCCAAAACTGTAGAGTTCTCTTCTTGATCGGTTAATCAGGGTGTTTGGAACTGATTCTGATTCCTCATCTTTTCAGAAGCTTTTCACACCAGCTTCTAAAAAAACTGATTCTAGTGTTAAATTAGAGCATTAGAATCGATCAAGAAACATCGAATTTGATCATCCTATTGTATAATATATTTTTTAAATCTCTGAATTACTCATCACTAAAGTGATTACTGGCGAGGCAACCCATATATTGAGCTAAAAAGAATTGTTTTTTATTGAATACTGCTTTTATTGCAGGATTAATACCTTATAGGAGATTTGATGCTAAAATTTGATTTGTGCCATACAAATAGCATTTAACTATCATATTTGGGCTTCATTCTCTATTAAGGTGTCTGGTCATTTTGGTAGGAGTACCCAAGACTAGGTTGATTTGTAACTTTGTACTTGGCTTACATGGGATATCTTAACATTCTCTGCAATGAAGTTACAGTTTATACTAAATTAGTTGACACTAAATTTCAATGCTACCGATTGGAATATGGGATTAAGACTTTGAACCATTGATGATGATGATGATTCTCAGGAGCATTTTTTCGCTTTTGTTTTGTGTGTGAAGAAAATAACACCTGGAATAAATTTTGCAGCTAATGTGCTTGGCAGACTTGGAGTGTGATTATATCAATCCATACGATTCTGCATCCCGGATAAATAAAGTGGTGGTACCCAGTTTCATAACTGAAGGGGTGCTATGCATTCTGCATCTTATAACAGGCCATTGGTTTATGTTCCTGCTGTGTCTCCCATATTTGTACTACAACTTCACAGCGTGAGTTTATCCCCTTTTTCTATAATAGGTAATTAGTATTCCTTTAGTTCTCTACTCAAAGGTGTTGAGGGTATGCCTCTGCCATCATCACCTTACTGTGTCTCAAACCAGGGATTCTCTTTCTAGGAATTTCAAAGAGAGACCTTTTCGTGTTTGCTCTTGCTGAAGAGCATGCATCATCTTCTATCGTTAACTGGTATATGCATATGCCAGATTTTCTTAGGAAAAGTTAATTGGCTACCAAACGGAGCCTTTAATGTAGATTATGGTCTGCTTCTTCTTAGATTTTCTCAGACCAGCCTAATACTCGGTACTTCACAAAATGAGAATGAATTCCATTCTTGGTCCCAAAACTATTATGTCATTTGTAGTTTTGGTACCCAACTTTCTTTTTCCCACATTTACTCCAACGGCTATAGTTTTTTTGTCACTTATGGTCCTTCCAACCACTTGCCTGGTCTATTTACATACACTTTTTAGTTGATTTTTGTTGGAAAGTGGCAGGAATAATGTCTATAGCTGTGTGACCAAAAGTGGACAAATGAAAGTAGGAAACACGAAATGGAATATATATAATATAAATAGTAGTGGGACCAAAGCACTAGCATTTGTAACCAGCTTATAATGAAAATAAGTAATGTAGAAGTTACTTTTGTGACTGAACTCAATGTAATATCACTCAAACTTCATTTTGTGAAAAATGCAATTTTATTCAATTCATTTAAAAAATATTTAAATTGACATTTTTAGACGATCTCGTCACAATTTCACCAAGTTCATCCATTTTTAGATCTTAACATACGTGAAATCACTTAAACTCTTCTTAAATAAAAATATATCAAGTCATATAAGATATTTTTTAATACATACTCCATATATAGCATATCAGTGGACGTTCATGTAGCATAACATCACAATTTGATGTTTTTTCTATCAACCGCTTGCTGACAAATGCCACTTATGCTACTTTACCAGCTATAGTCAAGGCCGACACTTATTAGATGTGACCGAGATTTTCATCCAGCTTCCGGGGGCGAAGAAGATACGGTTATACAAACTCGGATACCTAGTCATTCTCCTTGCTGTTTCCATGTTTTGGTATGCTATCTGGGGGTGGGGTGGGGGTGACATTCCCTTCGCTTTTTTACTTTCATAGTACGATTACATCTATTTGATCCATGCAATTAATGCTTCTTTTGTGATCTATATTTTCTAGGATGGTATGGACCATAGTTGATGAGTGAAGGTACCGTACCCTCTGGCATTCGTTTTCAGTGTTTATGATCATTATCGGCTGGGTGTGCGGAAGGAAAATGTGCTGTCCTGTGAAACTAGTTTTTTCTATTATAATTTCTGGTCTTGTATTACTAGTTAGTATACAAAGGTTAGCTTTACTTAGGGTAAACTAATTGGTCTACTTGTATCCCCAACACATTGTAGTATTGTACTAATATAACTTTTAGAGCACGGGTTTGGGACGGTTGAGGTAGAGTGATCTAATGATTTAGAACACCATTGTTAATTATAGGGGTACAAAATGAACCAAACTTGGTCATGGTGGAGTTTTGATAAGAATTCACTGACTTGGGTTGAAATGAGCCTAAAGTTTTTGGCTCAAACTCAAGTTGGGCTCAAGCTCGGTTCGAGCACGGCATGAGTTTTGCTAATTAATTTTTATAGGTATGACCGTATGAGCTTGAATAAGATGCTCAAACTTGAGCTCAAAATAAAATATCTATTTATTAGTATTATATTTTTTTCCCATAAAACCACCGGACTTGTGGGGTAGGAGTTGGGAAATCTTCCTCCACTTTAATACTCCCTCCGTCCCGAAATAATTGTCCTATTTTGACCTTTACACAGATTAAGAAAATGAAGTTGACTTCATACTGTAGCGACACTGTTTGACACTGTAGCGACATTGTTTGACATTGTTTTGCACTGTTTGACACTGTTTTGTATAGATTTATTTACCAAATAAAGAAAGTTTCAAAGTAGGACAATTATTTTGGGACATCCATTTTGGGAAAGCAGGACATTTATTTTGCGGAGTAATTTATAAAATTAAGCAGTACAAAATACAAATGCATTTGAAAGAAGAGAATTCGAGAAGCAAAGGTTAATCTTATCGTTTTTGAAATGAATCAGAATTTATAAAGAGTATTAAAATACTAAATGAATCACAAGAGTTACAATCAACAAAAGCTCTAAACCACTATCTATCTTTCAACAAGTTGTATCTAGACTCAAGAGAGTCTTATGATTAGACTTTGAGACGGTCACATCTGAAGAAACAACAAGAATTGTTGACCACCAAATGGACAACACAAAGTTCTTATAGACCTATAAGATAACCGTATAAGTCACCACTTCACTAGATTCATGAGAAGTCTCTGACCAAACATATAAAAGTTTACCTAAATTTGAGTCAAGCTTTTCACTAAACCTATGAGAGTTTCGAGACATTTACTTTTGATCATAGTTAAATTAGACATCTCAAAACTACCACGAGCAATCAACAAACCAAGAACTAGATAAATTGTTTAATGAAAGAAAGATTATCAAAAAATAAAAATAAAAATAAAGCAAATTGGAATCTTTTTTTTCAAACCGCCCCACTCATAAGTTTCCTCTATGACGGTGGTTTAGGATGAGGTCTGCTCATCAGTACCGCTTATGTCCGCAGCACCCTACCCCAGCCTTGTGCCTCACAATCTCTCCCCGGTCAACTCGGCTCCTCAACCACAGTGACGCCAAAGCCCACCTTTCGATTTCCAGTCGCACGCCCTCTCGCATAGAGAACCAGTCCACTAGTCGAGCGTTGCATCGTCCCTACATCCTTCTCATCCTCCTCCATTCTTCTCTTTCGTTGCAATCACATGAAAAAACGGTCGAACAAAACCTAGTCACACTGACGAAAGAAATCACGGCACAAACTCCTATCGCAGACAAGTTGTCCTCTATATCACAATAGTTATTGCTTAATCGCAACTTATATATACTAACCCATCCTAAATAGTTGCAACATTAGAAATTTCGCATAAAAGTGGGAATCTTATCTCGGTATCATTTTCCCTCCCATTATGCATTAAATTACTTGATACGTTACAAAATCATTTTCTTTTATAAATAAATACATCCATATAATACCACTTTTTACTTTATTGTCAATTTTTAGTATCAAACAGGCTCTCTAACGCCATTTTTGTATATTATTTTTCTCTTTTGTTATACTTTTTTGTGTGATTCACTTCCTTGATCTCTCTTTCAAACAAATCAAGTGTGCTCTTCAAGTTATCATATACATAATTCAAGATTAGGATTATCTGAAAATTAATGTGATTTATTTGCAAAATAATATTAGCAATGCAAAATAAAATGTTCACATATATATTCATTTTAACAAGATACACCCTATAATATATAATGTCATTCTTAAATTTCTCATTTTTGAAATATATATTGTGGTTCATCTCGTTCTTTTTTCTCTGCACAAATCTGAACAATACAATTCTTACTATTCTTATTTAACACTCAATACAAAGCTGGCAATGTTTAATGAGACACTAGTAATATATTTTTCACAAGTAATATATATTAATAATAAAATATACATAGGAAATATATCAATGCATGTATACTGTAACTAATGTAATTAATACATATGTACTATCTTTGTCCCAAATTATTTTGTAAAATCAACATTTTCTACTCAACCAATAATAAAGTTAAATCCTATATATTGATAATTAATTCAATTTTAATAATTAAAATTTACATATTCACAAACTACATTAAAATCTCTACAAGTTGCAAAATCCAAATTAAAATTTAATTAAAAATTGATATCCTAATTAAGTGAATAAAATGAATTTGTTTGACTAAAAAAAATCAACTTCACAATTCAATTTGGGATGAAAGTAGTATATAACATGTATCTTCCATTATTATTAGAATAATTAAGTAACAATAACAATGCAAGTATGTATGTTTTTTCTTACATCATTGATAAATGTGTGTTACTAACTTAAATAGAAACAAGTCTCTATGGACCATAGAACACTAGCCCGAAACTAGCGTATTGGGCTCGATGTTAACCCTTCCCCCAAATTGTGGACTACAGTGCACTACGAAATTTTTATAGAGTAGCATGTCTCTCTTATGGAGTCATATGTACACATGTGGCTCTCCAATAGTTATTCATTTTTATGGTGGAGGGTCCCAGTTGAAAAATGAATGAATATGGTGTCCACATATGTCGTATGACTCCGTAAAGAAGTTATATGCTACTCCATAAAATTTCTCGGTGCACTACATCCCACTATTTTATTCACACATACATCTATTTTCTGTTCATACAAACCTACATTCACAAAAAATCAATACATATGTGTATAGGTAAACTTATTTTTGCATATACAACTGTTGTCTATGTCAACGGTAATTTCGTATGTTAGTACATAGTTGACTGCAATCAATAAATGTACAGAGTGTAATACACAAAACAACTTTGAAACTATTAATACCTACATGATATGTTACAATTGGAATAAACAAGGAAACAAAACAACTTTTTAAATAGAGAATATTACCAGAAATATGAATAAAAAGGTTTGAAAATTCCAAAATAGGGGTGTCATGTTTTTATTTTCAAAATAGGACTAATTACTGCCATATTTTGGCAGTACCGGGCTTCAAACATGGCAATATTTTCTAAACATGGCAGTAATTACTCTTATTTTGGGAATAAAAAACATGACAATTTTATTTTAAAATTTTCAAACTGTTTTAGTCCTATTTCGGGAACTTTCCCTTTTATTTAATTTTAAACAGTGTCAAAAGTTATACTCATGCCCCATTTAAATTCCCAATTTCAGTTGACGACTTTAGGTAAGAAATTGTTTTTACTGACTTCTAAAAATCCTAAAATATGTCATTCCTTAAGTGTGTGATAGAGTAATGAATTATTAGAATTTAATTTAGATTTTTTTTAACCAGATTGAATTTTCTGACATGATCTGATCTGCGGTATTTTTTATTGTCAAAATCTTGTCTAGAGGGATCTTCTTAAATCTAGCCCTGTGTGATGTTTTTAAATCTATTCTGGTCTAATCTAGCAGAACTCAGATCGATCCAACTAAAAATATGTTTAGAAAGAGTAATTTTCTAAATTTGGACCATGTATATACGTTGGATCAGTAGACACCAAAAACTTTTTCTTTTCAAATTACACACTGAAATTATTCCTTTGACAACTGTGTTAAAAAATCCGTGTGGGTCCATAAGTATCATTTTGAGTAGTCCAGTAATCATGATCTAGAGTTCATTAGGTTTCAGCCTTTGGTGCACCAAAAGAATCATTTATTCTTAAAGATTATTACTATAAGTCTATAATGAAGCCTCTAAAAACTTTGTCATAAACAAAAAGTTCAAATCCAATGAAATTGTTCAAAATTGGACATAATTATAAGTGTGTATGTATATATCTATAAGATAAAGGAGCAGATATATATTCAAGTTTGTTCCCACATCTTCTAGAACCTACAGTACTTATTAATTAAGGAGTAATTTCTTAAATACTACTATTCCTTAATGCATATTGATTTGAATAAGCAGTACTCCTTAATTCTCCCAAAAAAAGAGTTCAACAGTTAAAAAATTGTATACATATTTCAACAACAAAGGGGCACGTTGTAATTAAACCCCACATAAATAGAGCTCTAAACTCCAGCTAACAAAGTTTAAATTCCTACGGTAACTTGGCTACAGTCAGGTTCTGACATTAATGAACTAATTAATTATCATTGTTATTATTAATCACTTCAGAGAACAAACATACAACATTCAACACTTGAGATCCCATAGATCCACTCTATGACTCACCCTGCAAGGATATGTTAATGTCGGTTGTACCCCTCCTTGATTCATCATCCACATTTTGAATGGCTTCCCATTTACTTGATCCGGATCCGGGATACACCACAGCGGGTGCATTCGGGCTTCTGGATTCCAAGTTGGGATTATGATGATGAGGAGACATAGCAACAGAGCGTTGGGAGTGTGAAATCGGCATTGTAGCTTCTGCTGATTTACGCTTTCTTGTTGGTGTTTTAAAATCGTTGTAATTGCTAGCAAGAAAACTGCCCACAACGACCTGGATACATATATATAAGAAATGACGACCATTATATCAGTATGATAACCGTAATGGATTAAAATGTGACTATAAGTGTTTAGTGACGATTTTGGTAACTTTTGGTGATCATTATTATGTTCTATCTTATACTTAAATGACCATCATGTCATACGCATATTAACTTTAGTCACATTTTGTTTGGTATTATTCTAGGAATAAATGCCTATTTATAGACCAAAATCAATATAATTCCAACATAGAAATGCAATCACACCTCAAACAATTATACAGTATACAACAAAGACGCATGTATTATTTAATGTACAGATTGAGATTATCATTCATTTTCATTTTCATTTACCCCAGTGCCGCAAAGGCTCCCACCTACGGTGGGGTAAGGGGGGTCGGATGTACACAATAGTAAGGTGGGGTAGGGGGCTCCCACCTACAGATTGAGATTATGTGGCTATCAATTTGTAATTTCTAAAGTTGAAGTTGTTTTATGTCTTATACACAATAGTTTGTAAAATTTGAAGTTTTTGTTCTCGTTTGAAACTCAAAACAAGCTTTTATTTGGTAAACACAACAAGAGTTTCAAATAAGTTCTTATTTGGCAATTTTCTGATGTAAATTCCAAAGTTTTTCCTATTTCACAATTAGTATTAACTTTATTTTTTGCTGCAAAATAAAACACTCATTTATCCATCTACACATTACAGGGGATGAACCTTCAAAATTGGTATCCATCTAAACACTTTAATACCAATTACAGCATTGGCATTCAGCTCCTAGCTATTTATAGGCTTATCAGTTTTCTGTTATCAGCTACTTCATGGCTATCACATACCTTATCCACTGCATACAAAACATGGCCTAAAACCCTACACTCACGAAAACATGAAACCAACTGGGCAACTATCCTAAAAATCCGCTAGGGGCTGTGTTTGGCAGCCAGTTCCATGTCTACGAAGAATAAGCAGACAAACAGCTCGAGACTTGGATCCCATTCTATAAGGGTTATTTGGTTGAATTTTAGGAGTATGCAACTTATGACTTAATCAGACCTAGTATTCTAAGGGCTATTTGGCTTAAACGTTCTCGGACAACCATTTCATCCAAGCAAGTCAAAAGTTGTTAATCCTGCTCATAAGTAGAATATGTAAGATTAGGCGAGCTGAAAATGATGTTACCAACCGTTTTTCTTTTCATAAAATACTTCAAAATAATTTCAGCAAATTCACTCTAACCAAACGGTCTTGGGTTTTTCTTGTTTTGGACCGCATTGGCCAGAATTAAGCCCGTCTAGCGTTTTTAAGACACTTAATCAACCAACAAAAAACATAAATGAAAGACATGAAGAAATGACAATCCGAGATGAACCCCTCTTTGGGGGAGGGTTACCTGGACGGGAGTGGCTGCTATTAAGAGCCCAGCAAGCATTCCTCCAACTACACGTCCATCGGGACTAGCCAAGGTTATGCTCATTCCTCCAATCCTGCTCATCCCTGACTCTCCAAACTCTGTAGGAGTGAAGGATCCCGACAACGACAGGATGTCAAATCGACCCTACCAAAGTTGCAAAATTTATGCGTATAAGTTTCTCCCTATTAATTTAAATTAATAAAGAGAACTGCATATGAAGAGTCACACCTCATAAGTTAAAGTACCACCAGAAGAATTAGGCTGACGAAGAGTAACATTTGATATCAAACCATTCGCGGAAAGAATGCAAATAGCTCGAGGCCCTTGCTGTGAAAATGATATTATCTTCATCGTTACATCCTGACCGGCTTCAACTGTTATGAGATGGGGTAGAAAGTTTCCACCAGTTGTACATGAAATCCAGTCACCTTGAAAGGCAGGCAGGACATTATTGGAAATTTGGAATGAATGCTCTTTTGCGGACACTTACTTTTTTTTGTTGAGATACAATTAGGCAATTAGCTTTGGCATCTTTAGGAAAAAACAAAAGGAACCAACATGGAATCTAAAAAATGAAGAGACCTTAATTTAGCAGCTTTGTTACTAAGTAGTACTATACTGTAAGTCATGAGGTGTATGCTCATCAATCTCTATTTTACTTTTCACTATGGGTTTCCAATAAAAAGTTTTGAAAAGATCAATCAACCATAAAGACTCAAACTTCAAGCATACAACTTTAGTTAATTAGGTAGACTATAGAGACCCAAACAATGCAATTAAAAATTTAAGTAATGTGCCGCAAAAGATTCAAGAAAAGTTTAAAAAATGAAACAAATTAGACAAAATTTGCTTTAAGTGATGTGTAAGCTACACTCCCTAATTCTTCCTTATTCTTAAAGGGCAATCCATGTGTTCTTTTCTTCAAACTTGAGGAACAGAGAATAATCCAAAACATTATATATTTAGTGTGTGATTACTTAACATCCCAGACTCTTACTTTGCCCATATCCTTGACCTTCTCAAAGGATAAATAAATGCCTGGCAATTTTTTTTAGCAAATAATCTTGACTAATCTGGATTGAAACAGCAAAAATAAATAAATGCCTAGACCAGGATTAATCAGGCCTAGGTGACAATTTATAGAAGAATACATCCAATTTATAAGCTCACAAACAGTTAAAAGAAGTGAAATATGAGTTTTCTGATTAGGTTCATTAATAAAAAAACATTTGGAATCTGAATACCATATATAAAGGTCATATTTTTAGCTTCCATGCAATAAACTAAAATTACCTAAATTCTCAGCCCCAATCTTACTCTTCTGTTTCTTCTCTGATACTGGTCGTGGGGCACTCATTTTCTCAGCCAAGAAGCCTGCCGCGGAGGCAGAGGTGGGCAGTGGGGCAGGGGGAGAATTGGGTGTGAAGGGAAGTGGGCCAGGAGCACCATCTGGGCCATATTTCCTGGGCCGGCCCCTCTTCTTCATCTTCTTCTCAGAGCTCCCCACAATAATTCCAGCAGCATTAACAGAAGAGGGTACAAAAGGGAGTGAGGGTGATGTTCCTGCTGGGACCAAAGAAGAATTGTTGTCCTGTGGCGGCACATGATAGCTTGATGGAGCCTCAGGGGGTATCACTGCCACTCCTTCTGTGGCTCCTGAACTTCCTCCTTCCATGCTCACACCAATCTAATCTTTCTTCAAGCTTCTGTTAATTTAAAGGAAAAGAGTAAACTTAAAGATTAAACATGATATTAAGTATTATTATTTATAATAATTACAGTAGAAGTATATTGCACTCACAAGTCACTATACCTTGAAGGAAAAAAAATAGGGGAAACGTAATTATGTATAAAAAAGCACAAAATGAAGTTCAGAAAAATAGACGTTTGGAGATAAAGAAGATGGACATAGCAGCAAAAAAAGGGAGTTTCTTTCTCTTTTATACAGATATAAAATACCTATACATCGGAAGAGAGAACAGTAAAGGAGAAAAAGCTCAAATGCAGATTAAGAACGTTGAGTAAAGATACAATCTTTAAGCAGATATTTATTTTCTTTTAAAAGTGGGAAATGGAGAAAATTACAGCAGCTTGACTTGCAATCTTGAAATATAAAATGCTTCTGAACTCTCAACTTCTTTCTCAATCGAATTTCAAATGCCAAGAAGAAGAGGAATATGAAAAGAAAAGTAAAAGAAGTTCTTTTTCCTTATTTTATTACTGCAATTTGTTTTTGTTTTTTTAGGAAGCTTGGGTGAGAGGCTGAGTGGGTGACACACAATTGAAAAACCGGGAAGAAAAAGAAAAAGAAAAATAAAGAAATTTGTGGTGCGGAATTCAACTTTTTCTACTGTAGATACAGTGGGGGGGAAACAAAATCGTAATCCCAGATTTTTTTCAAAACTTTAATTAATAATCAATACGGTAATACCTTCATTCGATTTTACTTACCTAGTTGTTTTGCCAATTTCATTTGTTGGACATTGAGAGACCGTAACATTAAAATTGGTTGATGCTCACGATTCTCCTGAAATTTAAGAATTTTTTGTTGAAGTGGTTGTATAGGTTAATTCGGTTGATTCATGAAAAACTTATATTTAAAATATTTTTATTAATAAATAAAATAAAAAACTATATGAAAAAAAGCTAAAATGATCCTCTACAGTAACTTCATCCAATAAAGCCAGAAAAATAACTCTAGTCTTATTTTTTCTGCTTATTACACAATTCAGTACGCGAAATCAAAAGTTACGTGTTTGGTGAATAAGCTGGCTGATAAGCCTGATAAGCCGAAAAAAGGGTCACCAAACGGGCTCTTAGAGTTACTTTGGTTTATCCATCAATTTATTTATTAAACATGTAATTTTGATTTCACGCGTTGAATTGTGGAACAAATAGAGAGAAAAAAGTTGAAATTATTTTTATGGTTGTACTAAGTTATTGTAGATAATCATTTTAACTATTACGTATTATTTCATATAAGTTTTTATTTATTTCATTAATAAAATATATTTTAAATATAAATTTTCATAAATCAACATAATCAACCAATACAATCGCTTCAACCAGAACTTCATAAATTTCAACATAATAAGATGATTCAACCCGATTTGAGTATTACCAAATGAACTTGTCTTTAAACAAATCCGTTATTTTTTAAAATAATATTACCTCTGTCCCACTAAGATTGAGACGTGAGAATGTGGCATGAATATTAAGAAAAATAGGTTTGTGTGGTTGATATTAAATTGATAAAGTAAGAATAAAGTTAGAATGATTTAGAACCACACAATCTTTACCAAATATGGCATGAGACAATCTTAGTGGGACTTTCGGAAAAGGTAAAATGGGACAATCTTAAGGGGACGAGCTAGTAATAAGTAATAACTTTACCCTTCAACTTTTTTACTTTATACCGCGTACTACGCATTTTTTTCACAACAACAATATTCAAGCATTTGAAAAAATTGACACGTTTTGTCAACTTAATATGCCCATTAAATGTTTTTAGTTTTCTAAACGTAATTCCCCATGGTCAAACTTTTGGTAAAATCATCATTGTTCCAAAAAAAGGTGGAATCTCCCACCCCATGAGCCCCCCACCCCGACCCGACAGGATTGTGGGAAAGTTAGTCACGGTGACTTAGTCAGCAGAATGGCAGTAGGTTCATACACCCGTACGCACCAAAGACCCAGCCTTATTTCAGGTTCTGTGACCTCCACCCGGTCGCTGCGGGGATTCGAACTTTGGTCTATTGTTCGAAATCTTCCCCCTACTCGACCATCTTGGAACAATTGGTAAAATCATCCTAGCTCGTGTATATTATTAATCCTTGTGTTACATCCAAAAACATTAGGTGCGGGCGCCACTTGTAAAACTAAAAATATAGACAATTTGGGATCATATTTACAAAAGTAAAAGAAAAAATGATCAACAAGCTCTTCTACTATTATCAAACCATCATTTAAACCCTTAAGCTTTAAAAAAAGTCACACTTGTACACTTACTCCGTAAATAAAGTCAAATAAGTCAGATGACCGGCTACACTTGCAAATCCCAGTCGATTGCTTACGTGTACTAATTTTGACCTAATCTAATAAGGTCTTCCTGTTTGAATGTTGACATGGAATGTTTTTTTCAACGTGGATGCTGAATTCCCGTAGTCCAAATTGTTCACACATCATTCGTGCTTAGGGTTTCATTTTTGAATCGCGATTGAAGGTAGCTATGTCCAATAACAAAATAGTAGAGATTTGACAATGATGTGGTCACATCCATCTCTGTCGGGAACTAATTCATGTGCACTCGTACTGCTTCCAAGTTCAAGTAAGTGTATTTACCTGCAAATGAGTTTATCATCAAACTATTATTTTGTTTAGTTTGTATGTGAAACTTACGGCCAGTAGGATAAGTAAAATGTTAATTGGTTTTCTGAAGTTTTTTGATGGTTTTCCAAGTTCATCATACGTATCTTTTTTCAAATCCCGGAGCTCACAAAATCACATACATAAATGTGGTAGAATAGTGAAGTGTAAAATAAGAACCATACAAAGATTTAGTGTTGGGCTTGGTCGATTTGTAGAGAATTCCAGAATGTGCAGTTAGGACCAACATTACTCAAGTAGATTGCTAAGAATACACCATGTGAGGAATTTTGTTAAAGACACAGAACTGTCATACGTAAATAGTGAGGTGGACACTATTACTCTTGATCCAGATCGAACTTCTTATCCAAACCTATTGAAGTATATCACCCAAGATGCGTACAAGAAGGCAGAATCCTTATCCTATAAACTATTCGGGGAGAAGATGGAACAATTAAAGCCTTTATGGAATGATACAACTACTTTGCATCTTATTGAGATGGCAACCAACTGAAATTCATGTTGAGCATGATATTGATGAGGCTAAGCTACTTCTTGCTTTGGCTTTGCCTTCGACTGAAAATGCTGAGAAAGTTGTAAACACAGAAGAGAGAGGTGATGTGGAAGAAGTTGGTAACATCCGAGTTCAAAGGGAGTTAGAGACAACACATCCTATACAACTTGGAGAATGAAGTGCCCAAAGACATACCACAATATCAAGAGCAAGAGGAAGAACAAGAAGACATTTTGCATCCAGGCGATGATCAAACTTCTGAAGAGGAGCATGATGAGGGAAATAATGGAAATGATGCAGAGCCAAGAGAGAAGCAAATGGACTGCTGGGTAAAGAACAAGAAGAGCACCGGTGAGTTACTTTCAGATGAGGAAGGCGAGGAAGAATCTAGTAACTATTATGACTCAGATGAACCTTCCAGCTATTATTCAGAATCTGAAAAGGAGGATGCTCAAATTTTTGAGGTGCAGTTTAAAGTGCAGGTGAAAATATTGTGTGTTTCCGTATAGTTATTAGTTTCAGTTATTTACTCATGGTTAAAAATATTAGTTTTGGATACTAAGGATGTTATCAATTGAACCGTTTTTAGTCATAAACCAAATTAAATCAAACTAGAATACCGGACCAAACTATATGAGATTGAACGAAACTAATTGGATTTAATCAAACTCAAAACAATAATATAAAATACACAATATATACAAGTGCAGACTAAAGTTAAAAGTCTAAACTTGAATAAAAGTGAAAATATCTCAAAGTTGTTCATTAAATCGGTTCAAGGAGACCTTAACCACTAACTTTTTGGTAAAAATTGGTAGAAATAAAGTCTCTTTAAGAAGTCTTTGGTCAGGCCAATTAATAAAATCTATTTGTCATTACCGAATATCTATCTTCTCTAATAAGTAATAACTATCCTTTTATTTTTTTTACGATTTTTAAGAAGAAAATAGTAGGGTAATAATGTAATATAGAGAGTCTGGGTAAATGAAAAAGTTGGAAAGAATGTATATTAAGAAGGGAAAAATAATGAAAAAGTAGGAAAAAGAAAATAATTTGTAAAAAGTAAAAAAATGTAAGGGTAATAAAAATGTGAGTATAAAAATATTTTGATAGAAAAAACTTATTAAAAGATAAATAACAACAAACGTTTTCAAAAAGAAATATGAGACCATTGTCAAAGGAAGGGATATTTTGTAAGTATTTCTTTCTTACACAGAGCATAAATTTCGTAAAACAGATAGAATTTGATAGAAGAAATATGGAGCAATAAAATACTCCGTAGTTGCACTAATCCCAAGAGTTGAAACTTGAAATCCGGTTTAGTAAATTTCAAAGGCCAGAAAATGAAACGGTGGGCCGGGGCCGGGGCCGGAGACTATGAGATGGAGAAGTCCGGTGTTTAACTTTCGGGAAATTATTTTGTTAATTAATCAAATGAAATTTACACATCAAATTTATTGTTTATTCTTTTCATCTTCGAAAAATGTTCCTCCCCTATCAATTTGATCTACATATCACAAGAAATACAAGATCCAAAACATTAGTCAAGTTTCGGAGTATTAGTAAAAGAAGTAATTTGATCTACATATCACAAGAAATACAAGATCCAAAATACTAAATCGAAATAAAAGTATTTGGGAATTTCAAAAATGAATTGTGATATATCATTTCCTAAATAAAAGTAATTTCTGTTATGTTTCAACATATCAAAGTTCAAGTGTGATAATATTTTTTGAAACTTGACAATGATTACTCAATTTTAGAAAATAAAACATAACACTCATATTTTAAAATTTGAAACGTTTTTACTCATCTTTCAAGAGTTTTCCTGAAACTCCCGAAATAGAAAATATATTTTATAATAATTGTGTCTCAAATGCAATTAAGTTTGAATCAAGTCTACTTATGATGTTTTCATTTGGACTGTTTTCAGTCCCAAATCAGACCAGATCAGACCAGACCAGATCAGACCAGACCAAATCAAATCAAACCAGACTTATGTAGTTATAAATTAGACAGAAACCAGACGTTTATCAGAGCAGATTAGACCAGATAACAAATTTCAGTTCAAAAGAAAACATCCTTATTTTTCTCTAGGATTTATTTTTATGTCTAACAAAATGATTGAATCTGATCTGTTTAAATTATATTATGTTTAAATCTACTTCGTTTACATGTGGTTAATTTGCTTGAATCGATTCTATCTAAGTGTGCATGCCATACGATCTTATGTGATCTAATCAAGGTGTGCATGCCATAAAATTTGCTGATTCTGCTAAAATTTATGAAATTCTGGTTGAATTGACTATATTGGCTTATTCTGCTGATTCATGAAAAAATTATACTTTAAAATGTGTAGTATATACAAATGTGTATTATATATATTCATATCT